CCAATATTAACTGCCACATGTATGATCAGGATCGAAGACCTGCCTGGTCTCCCCATTAACATCAAGCTCCCATAGTCATCTCAACTGTTGGCAGCCTAACAGCAAGCTCCCATTGTACTTGCATCAGTAGCTAAGCATAACAAACTAGAACCTATAACCAATAATAATGCATATTTGAACCTTGACATATCAACATAGCACTCCACTAATAAACTTCCATCAACTCTGATTACACCACTCACACACGGCAGATATCAGACCAACAAATCTATGTATAACAAAGCTGTAGCAACCCAGCGGAACAAAACAGATTAGCAGCTGCATGCTGGTAGCCCAGACCCAGAATTCTAACAGATTGGAACCAAGAAAATGGGCAATGAAGCAAGATATGGACAGCAGAGTAGAGTTAGAAGCAGATTTCTTTTTATTTTTTGAATCCCCTCTGATCTTCACAGGAGCACTGAAGACTACACGATGGCAGCAGTGTTAAGCCAAAACAATCCCTGACCCTCCTGAGATTCCACCCAACAAGCAAGGGCACACTTACCTACCCCCCACACACCTGCGAACCTGCTCCAGATTCTCAACCAAATCATGGACTGAATAATGCAATAGCCTAGAATTATATTTAATCCACAAAGCAATTCTGGTTTTGATCAGATCGCAGACTTCCTCTAAGAAGGGCTGTTTACCCTTGAAAATGCACTCATTCCTCAGAGTCCAAATAGACCATAACACAGCGAATGGAATTACATTCCAAATCTTGGTTTCAAGCTTACCCCACTTGTACCCACTCCACCACTCCAGCACCCCTCTAGCATTCTTAGGAATCACCCATTGCATCCCCCACCAGGACAAAATTCTGGACCATATTTTCCAAACAAACATGCACTGAACCAACACATGACAATCCGTTTCAACAGTATGCCCACAAAACACACACTCTGTTGTAGCATCCGGATTAAGGCACCCCACATGTTGCAGGAAAGCTTTAGACTTAATTCTACCCTTCCACGCGAGCCAACCAAAAATCTGCACTTTTGGTGGAGATACATTTTTCCAAATCCACCTCTCATCCTCCACCCCAAGTGCTGCCTCAGGCCTGCTATATAATGATTTCACAGTAAACATACCTGAGGTTGAGGCTTTCCAAACCCAGAAGTCAACTCTGTCAGCTAAAACTGGCTCATGTGTAGATAGGTAAGCTCTAAGTCTACCCACTTCATGTTCCTCCCAAGCCCTCAGGACTCTTCTGAATAGAAAACTCCACCCATCTGAACTATTTCTCCTGTCAATCATCTGTTTAAGAGTGGACTCTTTGTTAACTGACAGATCAAAAAGTCTTGGAAACATACTCCTCAGGCTGCAATTCGAAGACCAATGATCCTCCCAAAAACTAATTCTCCTCCCATTCCCAACTTTAATCACGGAATTCTCCATGAAGTAACTGAAGAGATTGGGGCTGCTGTGTTCTAGACTTAGAATGTCACCCCAGGTTCTGGAGCACTAACCACCCTCCACCGGAAGAGGCCTCCATCTTCCACCATAGCTACTATATTTACTGTTGATAATCTCTTTCCACAGTGCTTGATCTTCACCACCATATCTCCACCACCATTTTGCTAAGAGACACTCATTAACATCCCTCAGCCTTCTAATGCCCAAACCTCCGCACCCTTTCTTTTGGTGATCTCCTCCCACTTTACCATATGAAGCTTCTTTTTGACTTCATTGCCTCCCCACAAGAATCTGGCTTGGATTTTATCAAGCAACTTCGCTACACCCACTGGAATTTTAAATACAGATAAATAAAACACTGGTAGTGAATTTAACACTGACTTGATCAGAGTTAACCTCCCCCCAAACGATAGAACTTTTCTCTTCCAAGAAGCTAATCTAGACTTGAATTTATTTATTACTGGCAACCAAGTCTGCTTCTTTTTTGGACTGGCCCCAAGAGGTAGCCCGAGATAAGTGAAAGGCAACTTTTGACCCTGGCAGTTCAGCTTCTCTGCGATACCCTCCAGCACCTCCTCCTGAACTCCCACCCCACAGACCATACTCTTATGGAAGTTTATCCGTAAACCGGAAATCACTTCAAAACATCTCAGAATCCGTTTTATATTCAACATTTCACGCTCATCAGCCTCACAGAACACAATAGTATCATCCGCAAATTGCAAATGGGTGACATTAATCCTCCTATTGCCAATAACCACACCTTTAATAATCCCCAAATCTTTTGCCCTTTGAAATAACATATTAAGACCTTCTGCCACAATTGTAAAGAGAAACGGCGATAATGGATCCCCTTGTCGGAGTCCTTTTTCCGGACAGAATTTAGCCGTGGGTGAGCCATTCACAAGGATTGAAACTCTAGATGATTGCAAGCATTCCTTTATCCACCCGATCCACTTATTTTGAAAACCAAGGCTGGACAACATAGCTAATAAACACTCCCAATTTATATTATCGTAAGCTTTTTCAAAATCCAATTTCAAAATCAACCCCTTCTGCTTTTTCTTTTTCCACCAATCCACAATTTCATTAGATATTAACACCCCATCCAGAATATTCCTTCCACCAACAAAGGCTGTTTGGGCTTCCCCAACTATCCTTGGAAGTACCTTTTTGAATCTGTCTGCTAGGACTTTGGACAAAATCTTATAAATAGACCCAATAAGGCTGATTGGTCTATAATCAGAGATGCCCTCCGGACAATCTTTCTTAGGAATTAACGTGATGAAAGAACTATTAATACCTTTGGCTAGATGCCCATTATCATAAAATTCCTTGAAGAACTGCAAGATTTCTTTTTTAAATACCTTCCAGCACTTCTGAAAGCAAGACAAGTTAAACCCATCCGGTCCTGGAGCCTTATTGCCATCACTCATCTTCACAACCCTCCATATCTCCTCCTCAGAGAATGGTGCAACTAACCCGTCTGAGACCGCATCACACCCAATGGTTCTGAAGATACCTTGAAGCTTAGGCCTTAAAGTCCACTCTTCTGAAAATCTCTTCTTGAAGTAATTAAACACCTCCTGCTTAACACTACAGGGATCTTCATACAACACCCCATCAACAACAAATGAGTTCAACAAGTTTTTGTTCTGTCTGCTGGTAGCGACAATATGAAAAAATCTTGTGTTTTTGTCCCCTTGAAGATTCCAGTTCAATCTAGATTTCTGCTTCCAAATCCAATCCTCACGCATAGATAGTGACCATACTTCTTTTCTTAACTCTCTTCTTCGTCTAATTTCAATCTCCTTCAGACTTCTAGATTCAGCCATTAAATCAATGGCATGGAGCTCCTCCTCTGCTACCTTTAACTCAACAGACACATTCCCAAAAACCTCCCTATTCCATTTTTTCAACTCTGCTCGAAGTACCTTCAGCTTGTTCGAAATAACATAACCTGCCCATCCAGAAAAGGCAGATACATTCCAAGCTTTCTTCACAATACTACCGAAGTTAGGATGAAGGGTCCAAGCGTTTAGAAAACGAAACGGCCTTGGACCCCAATCCCTCCCATCTTCAACCAGCAATAGGGGGCAATGATCAGACACACTTCTCTCCAAGCCCCATAATTTTAAGTTGTATCTTTCCATCCACTCCGTTGATAACAAAACTCTGTCAATCCTACTCCATCTATCCCCTTCAATAGCGTTACACCATGTGAATTGCCTACCCATCATAGGTAAGTCAATGAGCTCTAAATTATCTATGAATTGGTTAAACTCCTTCATCCCTTTGTCTCTCCTAGAGCAACCCCTTCTCTCACCAATGCTCCTTATCTCATTAAAGTCACCGACTAGGCACCAAGGATCACAAAACACTGTTTTCAGTCTATGAAGAACCTTCCAAAATTTACCCCTTTCATTAACCTCAGATGGTGCATGGATGTTCACCAGAACGCACTCAAAATTTGGCAAGAGAGTCACTGAGAGTATAATACAATGACTGGTGCTACAGCACTGGGAAAGATAAAACACCGACAACTTCCAAATACACAACAGACCCCCTGCCCTACCTATAGAGTCAACTACCATAAACTCCATATCTTCATATGGCCATAACGATTGAACAAATAATGATGAAATAGCAGACCTCTTAGTCTCTTGGAAACAAACAAAATCAATATTCCTATCTTTAATTATACCTCTAACCTTCCTCATCTTTTCAGCTTTACCCAAACCCCTAACATTCCATGATATTAGCTTCATTAAAACAAAATGAATACCACCTTATACCACCTAAATACTAGCACATCAACATTGTGCTTCTGCACTCCTATTAACTGCCCTTTCCTTATCTTTGACTTCTAACTCTTTTAGCTTAAGCATTACATCCTCTTCCTTTCCTTCAAAGCAGATGCCGAGAGCTTTGCCCAAGTGAATTGTTGCCTCTGCCTCATCTTGTAGGACCTTATCAACACTCGAAGACCTCCTATTTAAATCTGACTGTGCTGTCGACCCATGTGACCCAGATCTTGCTACCAGCCCCGATTTTGCCCTAAATACAGCACCTCTGCTCCAATTACCTATAACTAATGCTCCACCCTTTCTCGCACTACTCCCATCTCTTTTTTTTCTCTGAGTTCCCATCGAGCTGCTGCTCACAGATGACGCCCCCCTCCTCCTCACTAGCTTTTTCCTCGGCTTCATCTCACCCCTTTTCGTACCCGTGTTTCTTTGAACAGAATTGTGATATGTTGGTAATGGGTCTGATCCATTCCCATGGGTCTGCAACCCTGTATTAACCAAGCCCACATCTCTTAAAATATTACCATTAATGAGCGGCCCATTTGATAGCTCAATATGATATTTTTCACCTAAGTTAACTTCCAGTGATATACCCTCTTTATCCAGCCCATTACCACTCAAACTTCTTATGAACCCATTAATCGGCCCAGTTTCATCCTCACTCTTGCTCCCTTCGTTATGACCTTGAGCTGTACACAACTTAACAGCAAATGTTCCCACACCTGCTTCTAACTCTTGTCTTCCCGAAGCAACATCTAACGTCTCATCCACTACCGAGGTGGAACAATCATTCGGAATCTTCTCCACCTCCCTAGGTACATTGGTTGCCATCACCTCCTTGTAAGATCTTGCCACATCAATGTAGGTGTTTAGCTCATTTTGAACTGAATCCTCTACCTCAGCCTCCTCCTTGTTCGAATGCTTACCATGCCCAGCAGCATGGCTGGACATCCCAACTGCACTACAAAGATCAACCCTCTTCTGTGATGACTTCTCTTCACAGGGTTCACCTATCATTTTTGTTACCAACACCTGCTCTTCGCACACTCTAACTGGATACATTATACCATTGCATTTGATATGGACTACTGTGTTAATGGAATACATCACATTTGTTGCTACTTTTATCCTTCCATAGCTAAATGATGTTTGATTTGAAGTATCCTCATCTAACCGAAGTATTTCTCCCCATAACCGGCCAATCTTCAAGAACGTATCACTGCTCCATAAATTCAGGGGAACCCCATAACAACAAAGCCACACACCCCTTTCCGGAGTTAGACATACTCCCCTCTCCCACTTTGTGACTGATACACACCATTGTTTTAGACATTCCTCTAAGAGGACCAGCCCGGAGTTAAACATACCCCCCTCTCCCACTTTGTGACTGATACACACCATTGTTTTAGGCATTCATCTAAGAGGACCAGCTGAGAATTCATGACCTCTGCCGATGAAAACGACACTACGGCCATTCTACCCCCTCCTTTTCTGACCACAACGTCCTTCGAACCAATTTGATGGACATTATCCCGAAACTTAGAGAAAGCATAGAAGCTTTTCAATTTGACGATAACGCTAGCGTACAACCAACTATTTCCTGATTCCACCCCTACTATGACATGCGCTATGTTTCCTTGTTTGTTACCTTGAACCATAGCATCAGCGTAGGATTGATGACTCATCAGCTCCTTACCTGCTCTGCCATCATTTCTATCCACAAAACCACTCGGTTTGCCTCTAGTGGGAGCTACCTTTTGTACCCCCTCCCCCATATTCTTATTACTTCTACCCTTCTCAAAATATGTTATCTTCACATGAAGTTCCTTATCATCGCACCATAGTCCATTGGTTTTTTGGATTGCTACATCAGCTGCCACTGGACAATCATATCGAACAAACCCAAATCTGGAACTTGTGGACTTCCTGGTCTTATTTGGGATGAAAACATCCTTAACTACACCAAACTTAGAGAAGAGATAGAACAAACCTTTTGGATTCATTGACCATGGAATATTGTCCACAAAGACCGTAATGACACCCACTCTATCCTTCTGAACTCCAACCCTCTGAACAGGTCTTCTTCTCCCGTACATCACAGGCTACCATCCCCCTGCACCACCATTTCCGTCGTAGTTCTTCATTGTCTTCATTGCCCAAAGCTAGTTATAGGCTAATTTTTTTTATTATTAAAAATTTTCATCAAATTGGTTCGAAGGATGTTGTGGTCAGAAATTATTGATCACATGGGGAACAAGAGGGGGCTCAATCTATTTTTTGCTTTCTAGCCTTTTGAATCTTTGTTTGATCAATCCTAGAAAACCATGAAAACCATACTACATGAGATGTATGGTTCGCTTTTACAGCTTTGTTTTTTATTAAAAGAGTACTGCAATTCTAACCTAAAAGTTAATAGATAATGTAATTCTTTCTTTTACATATTATTTAATTATCAGTTAGTCATCATTTTAACTAGGGGTGAGCAGCGGATGTACCGATCCGCCAAAACCGACCGAACCGAACCGATTTGTCGCATTTTGGACGGATACGTGATGACAAGCGGACGGTTGCGGATTGATTTTCTCCAATCCGTCAATCTGGCGGACGGGTGGCGGATTTCTGTTTGTGTTTTCAATTAAAAAAGAGTTTAAATATTCTGTTGAAAAAAAATTTTCAACTTTAATATCTTTTTTGAATTGAAAAAAATAAATGTATTATTTATCTATATTTTTTAGTTTTTAAATCTATCTCTAAAAATAATAAACAGAAAACATGATATATGCTGGTTGGTTTTTATTTTCAAAAACAGATATAGATGTAACAATACAGAGACATACAATCTCTACTACTGCTATGTTTATGGTTTTGATGGTTTGAATTGTTTTTATATTTTAAGAATCACAGATTGTAATACTTTTTGTGGATGAGGCATGCGGTGATTATGATATTCTAAAGTTTCAAACTTTCTTACTTTGGATGAGGTATGCAATGATTGTAATATTTTTTTAAGTCATTGATTGTAATATTTTCTTCTCTTTTTTTTTTTATTTGGGGAAGTGCAAAAGTTGAATTATGTTGAAAATTTATAAAATTTTAAACCGCCAAACCGATTTGCATCCATCCGCCAAACCACCAATCCGCTCAATTCACATCCGTCGGATTGGCGGACGGATGCGGATTGATTTTCTCCAATCCGCCAATCTGGCGGACAGATGGCGGATCGGAAGTTCCGTGGCCGCAACCAACCCGCGCCCACCCCTAATTTTAACATATCACTAGGTTAAAAAATGAGTCTAAAAAATTGACTTCTATATTATTTTCTTCTGTGAAAACGTTTTCAAGAGAGAATGGAAGATATTTTTCTTAAAAAAGGGAAGCAATTGTTTTTTTCAGTCGTGCTACATCACCACAAAAATCTCTCATAAAAACATCCCTTCATAGATTCTGTTAGGTTTTATTTCTTGGCAATCCCGTTTGACAAAACTCATTTGAGTTGTAATTTTATTCGCATTTTTATTTCAGTGAGGCTATGAGTTGTTAGATGCGAATCCAACCCGAATCAAGCCTTTCAGAGAAGTTTGTGATGATAAAGCTTTCAAGATTGCCACTTCGCTGATTATGACGGGGATCGAGCTGCCCGGTCAGCTCGCGAGGGTCCAGGGGGCAGCGCTTGTGGGGTTTATGATCTTGCTTTTGCTGTTTGAGAGTTGTTGTTCATGAGTCTTAGTTTTCATCTATTCATGTTTTCAATCTATTAAGGTATAGTGGTTTCTTTAATGAACTTTCATTTTTAATTTAATGCAACTTCCATTTTTATTTTTATTCAACTTCCATTTTTATTCAATTTCCTTTTCTATTTAATTTCCAAACAGATCGTTAAGGTGTAGTGGTTTCTTGAATGAAC